AAAGAGGCACTTGAGCAAGAAGAAGGAAACAAGATAGGTGAGAGATTATAATGATTGAATCTCTTAAACTTAGTTTCAGCCTTAATTTGTGTTTTTCGATGAACAAGCCAAAATTTAATGCTTCTTCAATTGCAGGAATTAATGACCTGGAATTGCTGAAGACGGAGGCGTCAGACAAAAAGTTTCCAGACAACGAACTTCTCCGGAGACTCAACACAGTTCTTAAAGACATAGAGCGCTGCCAACAGACGAGTAATGAACTCCTGGATGAGTCAAAGAGCAGGTATGAAGGATCACAAAGTTGATGTTACCTCTGTCTGTACAGCAACACAGGCTTATATTTTGCTGCCTTTCAGTAAAAATAAGATGACCTTGGCAGAGCTGAAGTCCTTGGTAGAGACGATGCACAATCTGCCCTGTGTGATGAACAAGTTGGAGGAAGTGCAGGTAAGATAACAATGTCACAATTATAAGAAAACAATTAAAATTACTCTCAGTTTGCTGACTAAACCTGATTTGTAACTTTATACAGTTAGAACATACACACATACATACTCACATACATACTCACATACATCACAACAATTTTACAAACTCAGCTTAAAGTTCTGTTTTTATTGAGTGCATTAAATGTTTATGTCTGTATCCCCTGGTTTTCAAGGCGGTGCTGCAGACAGTAGAGGAGTTCCAGAGCCAGGCTCAAGCATTGGTCAGTGACAGGGACTGGAGGAGGGACTCGCCACCACCAGAGCGATTGCAGACATTGTTGGAGGAGGGTGGCAAGCTGCCCGTTATGGTGCCAGAGTGTGATTTGCTTCAGGGCCTGAAGGAGCAGGGCCACTGGCTGGCAGAGGTGAGGTGCACCCTGGGCACAGAAGGAGGTGAGAGGCAGGAGGTGACGTTGGATGTGTTAAGGATCCTGATGCAGGCAGGTTGCAATGTGCCCCAGAGTGTATCTGTGGAGACGGCCATGGCAGAGCTTCAGGAGCTGCTCACAATCGCAGAGCGTTGGGAGGAGAAAGCAGAAATCTGCCTCGAACAAAGGTAAGACAGTCAGGAAGTCACACAAGATACTTTTCTCTACACTTCACCTGAGGCAGGCATTGTTGTCATGTCACAACCAGTGTTTCTTGTTTCAAACATATCTTTGTCATCATTTTTGTCTTCCAGTCAAAAACACCCCCTCTCCACCCTGGAGGCAATTGTGAACGAGGCCCAGCTTATCCCGGTCAAGCTTCCAAACATTCTGTCTCTACAGGGCTGTCTCACACGAGCACGGGCCTGGGTGACGGACTTGGATGAAATCCAGGTATTAAAAAAAATGGTGTCTTCTTCATGGCCCCAATTGAATGAAAATTGTAAAAGACACTGTATCTCATGTTGTTGCATTATTATCAATTATCTTTATCGTAGAATGGGGAGCATTACCCGTGTCTGGATGACCTGGAGGGCCTGGTGGCTATTGGAAGGGATCTGCCAGTTTTCATGGAGGAGCTAAGGCAGCTGGAGCTGCAGGTGGCCAGCGCTCACTCCTGGAGGGACAAGGCCACCAAGACCTTCCTGAAGAAGAGCAGTCAGCACAGTCTGCTAGAGGTGGGTGACTTGGAGGGAAATGGGGAAATAAGATTTGATGTCACAACAACATAGATTTTCTGTGCAAGCTAATATTACATTCCACTTGAACAGCTCTTGGTAAGGTATCCTTCATGAGAGCATACATTTAACTTGAGTGTTACCATTGCAGGTATTATGTCCGTGTGCAAAAAGGAGAGAGAGGCGAGGTGGGACGGAGGCCTTGGATGATATTTTGGATGATTCTGATTCCAACACTCTGGGCCTCTCTGCTCAGGACCTGAGGGATCCTGCCGCGATTGTGAGTTTACTGAACATGACTTTGTGTGTTTGTAATTTCTCTGAAATGCTTGTTGTTTGTTGACCTGTGCCTGATATGTGCTTTTACATCAGGTGATGGCGTTCAAAGAAGGAGAGCACCAGGAGAAGGAAGCACTACTGAGGTTACAGAAACTGAACATATGTAAATCTGGACTTAATGCTTCAAGTTGCAAGGAGAACGGGAGGTGGGACGAGACCATGGAGACAGACAAATCCAGCCACTCAGAGAACTCTGTAAAAGAGAATGGCAACAGTAACCACACCTGCACCACCCCCCCTGTGACGGTGTGTGTGTGTGCCGGGCAGCCCCGTGCCCCTCAGCTCCGCTGCCATCTGTGTAAGGACTGGTTCCATGGTGGCTGCGTTCCTTTCCCCTCCCTGCTCCCCTCCTCTGGACTGCTGACTAACCCGCTCTGCTGGTGGGACTGGGAAGCGCGTTTCTTGTGTCCGCAGTGCGAGCGGTCACGGCGCCCACGCCTGGAGACTATCCTGGCATTACTCGTGGCCCTGCAGAGGCTGCCGGTGCGTCTCCCTGAAGGAGAGGCCCTGCAGTGTCTCACAGAGAGGGCCATCACCTGGCAGGGCCGAGCTAAAGAGGCGCTGGAGACGTCCGAGCTGCAGCAGGCTCTTCAGAAGCTGCAGGAACTCAAAGAGACTCTGCACAGTGAAGCAGGGAAAGATGAAGACATGGAAAAGAAGACCGGAAAGAGCTCCGTCATAGTTTTGTCAGATTCCGAGGGAGGCGAAGGAGAGGATGGAGTCATTGATCTGACGGCAGAGAATTCACCTAAAAAGAAAACCAATGAAAGCAATGGCACTCAGGTCAACACCATATTCCTCCTCCTTCTCTTAATTTGAATATATTATCTGTATTTGCTGACTGTTTGTGTAATACTTCATCCACCTTCCCTCTTTTACACGCTGCTTGTGTTCCTACAGGCTGGATGTGAAAATGGCACCAGCAAGAAGTCAAACGTTACAGGTTAGACACTGTTAACATTATAACCATCAAGTCATTTCATTCCCTCCGTCCCACAGACACTCACTCCCACTTTTCCCCGTCCCTTTTTTCAGGTGTGGGGTCTCTGCTGCCCCTGCTGCCTCTGCTGAAGGGCCAGGTGGTGGAGCTTTCTACGGCCACCAGGAACCATCTGGAGGAGCTGCAGCTGGAGGGAGATCTGCTGGAGGTGTCTCTGGACCAGACTCACATCATCCACCGAGTTCTCCAAGCTTCCTCTGTCCCACCTAAAGACTCACTGCACACACTCATTCAGGTCAGGAAAACAGAAACACTCCGCTTTCTAAATTAAGTATTAATGGAGTTAAAGTGAGGACAGTTATTTCCTACGTGGGCATCAGCATATTCAACGTCAGACGTTAAACATCTATCATTAAATCCAAGAACAGAATTTTAAAGCACAAACTAAACCTAAACTGGACCATTTGCTGTTTTCACATTTTGAGAAATAAACTTCACTTTCCAATAATACACTGGTGTGTTCAGAAGATACAGAGCCACCAGCAGCTTGTTTGAGTTCAAGATAAACAAAGAACATGTGAAATTTAGACCTTTAATACATTTCTTATCCTTTCTTATACCTTTGGAAGCAGAGATAAGTTGCCGCGTGTATTGTTACGTTTCTCCTGATGCTGGTTCACCTCAGCTGCTTCTTTTCCAACGTTCTTGTCATCTTTCTTTCTCTCCCTCAGATTGAGCTTGAAGAGCAGAGACGAACCAGCCGCAGCCGAGCCAAGGACTCCAAAAGGAAGAGGAAGAGCCACAGAGGCGGCTGTGGGGACGTGGCAGGCGAACGGTCACTGGACGCCTCTGAGTCAAAGAAAACCTGTCCCCTCAGCCACAGCCCTTCTCCTCACTTACCTGACCAGACTCGCCCAGAGGTAACAGCCCCTTGATTTTACTTCTGCTTTAAATATCTTCTTTTCATTCTCTGGAAATTGCTAAAAATGACACTTGATGACAATTGTCTTTCCCAGATTTTGTGATGTAGTCAACGCTGGAGCTCTGTGTGAGAGGATCTGCAGAGGAGCTGAAGGGACAGAACATTCTGTGCCAGAAAACCGTGTCAAGTTATAGAAAGATGCAGGACATCCCCCCCTCCTCCTCCACCCTCCACCCCTTCTCATCCCTCATCGATCCATTCAGACATAAACAGAGAGACGACTCTTCTACACTCCATTGCCTCATTCATTACTCCTTCAGACTCGCTGCCCATACCCAGACTTTATCCTCATCCTCCTCCTTCGAAACCCATCTTCCCCTTGAACATATTAAAAGACTGTGTTGGACCGACGTGGGACTTAACGTAATAGGAATGTTCATTGGTCTAGAGTTGTCTCTGGTCAGTCAGTATGCTATGTTATCCCAATTGTATTAAATGCTTGTTCAAACGAAGCCTGGCTCAGCACCGGTGGTTTTCACTTCACTTGAACCCACCCGTTGGACGTCGGATAAGCTATTTGGTTCGTTTAGACAGTTCTGTTCCCCTGACGCTGACGTACAGCAGGTTTTGACGGCTGATCTTGGAAAACAGCACCGTGGTTACACTTGTATTTTTTTAGTTGTATTGACTCTTGTGTTTAATGCCGTTTTGAGGGGATATGCATTTTGAATAAACAGAGTAAATTTTGGGAAGTGTTATAAACAGGCATTAATGTTTTTGGTGCTACTTTCCCAAAATGGATATCTGTACCTCCTGTTTTGTCTCATCTCCCTTCCCTCCATTTTTTTTAAGCTCTTCTTCTTGACTCCATCTTTTTATTCCTTTTCAACTTGACCTCTTTTTCTTCTCGCCCGCCCTCCCTCATTCTCTCTCTTTGCAGATTAAGGTAACTTCACTGTAACTCACTTTGTCACAAATTATTTTGTTTCCTGGGTTCAAATTATATTATTATTATTATTATTATTGATATTGCAGACACACAGTTGTCGTGAGTTTGTGTATAAACTTTTCATTTAATGTTGCCTTTGTTTCTTTTCACTCTTGTTAGAAAAATAAAGGTTTAGAATTGTTTAGGACATGTTGACTCGTTCATTCACTGAATTCTACCACGCGACAGACACAGTTTTCATGATCACAGCGTTTATTTAAAAAAAGCTTCCACTGCAAAATGGCAGACACTGGACACCACAATATTCAACAAACAAGTATAACATTGGTTTTTTTTTCTCTATGCTATGAGCAGATCATAGAAAGACATCCACAATTACAGTATGTTAAAGGCTTTAAGTACATGATGGGGTGGCCTCAATATCAAAACATGCATTAAAGTAAAATGAAAAAAACTTTTACTTATGGATCAGTCTCCGCAGACTTTAATTGGCTTTTACTGTTAGTCCGGGTAACTTTTTAGATAATTATCCAGTGGCTTGAAACAAAAAGCTAAATTTGGAAATAACACACCAGACATGAATGACAGGTAATGTACAGAACATAGATACATGATGTAGCCATTGGCCCAGTCGACAGGTTTTCTTGAAGCTAACAATAATAGCCATAACCTCCAATAGGGAGGTTAGGAGGTTTTCATCAGTGTTAGTTTTTTAGCAGTAAAACACAAAAAAAACACTTATTTCCATGAAATTTGGTGCATGACGCCCAAAGCAGAACGGATCAGTATAAACGGGCAGATCCAGGATTATTTTCCTACTTTCTTAAACATGGCACAATTGGGTGTGAGCAGGACATTTTGACCTGACAATTGTAGAAACAGGATTTGATATTTTTCCTTTTTAAATGATATCAAATGTTTTCTGTGCTTTTTCACGTATAAAATAATCCTGTCAGTTACTATGTGCCTAAATTTTTTATTCTCTTAGCTGCATTATTTTTTATGGAACGCTTGGAAACTTGTGCTATTTGTTCAAATCTGCCTGAAGGGAGGAATCGGCTCAGCCTCTGATTCCGAAACATTTGTACACGAACGCTGCGGGAATGAAGAAAATGTCTCAACTACATCAACTGGAACAATGTTGCTTTGAAAATGTGCTTAATCAAAAGTCCTGTGTGGACACTACATTTACAGTTATCTGGCACGGAAGTGGCTTTTTCTCATCGAGTTTTCACAGCTGCATGATTCCCCATGACTCTTATCTGTTCTGTCACTCATAAAAACCTGTTAGAGGCCTGTAGAGATAAAAAAAAAAAAAAAACATTCAGTTCTCCACCATTTGTGTAACAGTCTAACAGCAGGTGGTGCCATCTCACAGAGCATCTCCTCTTTATGTAACGAGACACAACATGAATGACGATGTGCGTCTTTGTCTTGCTGCAGCTCTCTGGCTGGATTCCCTCTGAAAAGGTTGCTAATGTGTTTGTCTCTTAAGTCTGTTCAGATGAAGATAGAAAGAATCACATTCTTCGCATTTGACACGTAAACATGGGTAAAAGCCTTTCCCTGACTTTTTCACGCCCATTCAACCAAACAAATTCAATGTGGTTTAAAGTGTGTTTTGTCTTTCTGTTAAGGAGGACGTGATACTGACTGTTGCTGCAGTCGCAGTCATGTGCTTGTTTAAACATTTCAGATTTGGGCCGATGCTACGTTCAATGACCATCATTGACATGTGTTTAGGATCGATGCTGCCTCCCTGCAGACGGATGTCTGTGCCACAGTCTCACACTGTGGTGACAGATAACAGCGGGTTGTAGACTTTCTTCCCATCTGCAGACCTGCTCCCATGAGCCAGCAGCTCCTGAATCGTGATCCAGTTGTCCAGAATTCTGCGACTGCGCTTCTTCATGCTCCTGCGGTGGCAAAGCTCCAGGATAGAGTTGGCTTCCTGCTGGTGTGTCTCCCCCTGTTGACAGCCACCGCCGCCCTGCTCCCTCTCGCGCTCCCTCAGACAGTCCAGACGGCTCTGCATCATAAACTCTCTACGCCGCCGCTGCTCGCGGGCCTTCTGCAGCTGCTGCTTACGCTCCTCTTTGCTCCAGTAACGGCCCATCTTCATTTCACTTACGGCGTCGTCATCCGTCGTCATGCCGCTGCGCTCCTCTCGGATCTTCATGGCGCGTGCCTTCAGTAGGCGATCCCTCACGGGCCGTTTGGCCACGTAGCGAGAGCCGTCACTGCGTATCTTCACCTTCCACTCCATACGAGGGGAGGCAGGCATCAGAGAGGGGGACAAGGGTAATGGTACAGCACCTGGGGCCTGGGCCACGCCTTTACATGTGCTACCCAAGCTCATCGGGCTGTCGTCACCCCCAGTCTCCATGCTTCCTTCTCTGGGAGTCTCTCTGACACCACAGAGCTGCTCAGATGTGGAGGGAGACCTCAGCTGCATGCAGCTCAGGTAGCGGTGAGGAGGCTTTGTTTCAGTTTGTCGACGGGACAGGTAGGGGCTGTTCTCTGCGCTGCGTCCACCAGCCCTCTCTGCTGTCCCGTTGGCTTTAGGGTTACGTCTCATCCCTCCATCTGAGCCCCTCCTAGTTCCCCCATCTCGAGACAGGGACCTGACTTTAGCTCCAGGGCTGGATGTCTTAGTGTCTGCTGCTCTTCTGTGGGTGTTAGAGTAGGGTTGGTTCAGGTTTGTTTGTGCTCCGTCCCTGGTCCCCCTCTCTCTCTGCCTAGTGAAAGTTGAACAAAGAGACTCTCCTCCCTCCAGGCTCTGTGTAGAGGGTGATGGGTACTGTTCATTGACCAGAGGGGTGCTCCTGCAACTCTCCCCTCCAGTGTTGTAGGCACTCGTACTGTCCTTATCGGAGCGCTCCCTCTCTGGAAGCTCGTTGATATCTGAGAGAGCGTGGTGACAGGACTCCTCATTGGCCAAAGTCCCACAAATGTCCAAGCGTCCAGCACCTGCACTCGCTCCGTTCTTGTCCTCTAGAGGCCAAGCCTTCAGACATCGCTCCCGCAGCTGCTGCATCTTCTGCGCCCTCAGGATGTTACGACACTTGAACTCCAAGTGACGCAATTCCTCTTCCAAAAGAGCCATCTCATGCTGCGTCAGGCTCTCATTCCTATTCACGTCCAGTGCGACACTCCCGCCTTCTTGCTCCGGCCCCTGGCCTCCCAGCAGCAGCAGAGCGTCACTGTTCTTCTCGTAGTAAAACTTGATTTCCAGCAGCTCTTTGTACCTCTCACACTCCTCCTCTGTCAGCCCAGGCATCATCATCCTCACAGGATCTGCCACGTACGTCCTTTCCAGTCGCTCCACCTGCTCCAGCCCTCCACCGTTTACACAGTCCAGCCCTAAGAGGGAGTCAGTGCTGAACTGGAGGTCCTGGGAGTGCAGCAAGGGCGGAGTATCTCCTCTACCAGACAAAAACTTCCGCATGCTGCCCGGCGTGTTGGTGGCGTTTGTATTGGGGGCGCTAGTGTGGTCGTCTCCCAGGAGGTCATGTTCTGACGATTCCTCATAACGTGTGCTTTCGTCTGTACGGCCCACCCCGCTGTCCAGCTCCTGGCTGTTGCTCAACACCGTCTGGAGCAAATCAGGTGAATCCCTGCTTATAGAGCGGCTGTGACCGCCTAGTACACCTCCACCTGCAACACCGCCTGCTCCAGCACCCAGGACGGAGGTGCTGGACCTCACTCTGTGGCTGCTGGGCAGATGGACAGCGTTGTCCAGGGGCTCCAGGTCCAGCTCATCTTGGTCCAGCTGGTTGTCGTTCTGAGAGGTGTGGAGACGTCAAGGTCAATGTGGAGGAGAAAAAAGAAGAGGAAACTGTATTGGTGCTAAACATGAAATATCTTCACAGCTTTAGACGAGCATTTCCTGATTTTGTGGTCTCTTTGGGTCAGAGGTCCGAGGGCCCCTGGGTCAGAGCCTCTGTTAGGGGTGACTACAGATGACACAATATGACAGCTAGTTGCTAACTTTGCTGTGCAGATTAAAGTGTGGATTCAGAGGGGTTCAAAAAAACTGAAAATAGAGAAGTTACAGGAGCAGAAAGACACTGAGATTGTTGCATAGAAGTGAGGAGGCTGCAAAACTAGATGGTTCTACTGATTACAGCAGGTTTAATGTTGATTGCAGCACATTTGAACACTGATACCAAAGATTAATATTCTTTTCTGCCACTAGATGGAGTATTGAGACTGCTACAGCTTTTAGCTCCCGTTGAATGAATTGTCAGTAACATGAAAAATCACTATTCGGATGTAACTCGGGAAACTTTGACCACGTTCTATCTGATTGAGATGAGATTAGTTTCATATTTTTTGGTATTAGAGGATGAAATATCCATCCAGGATACCCAGAGTGATCCAATCTCAATATTTGTTGTTGTCTCTAATGTGTTTACTCTTCTATTCTGATTGGCATCTGCTCAGACGCTGATCAGATATAATGCAAATGCTTGAGCTCACATTAGCGAACCCTCCTCTCCTCGCAGTGCAGTTTAGTTCGGCTAATTGGTTTGATTTGGCTGTGAATTGGGTGTCGACTGCAAAGATGAAGCATTGATTATCGTCTTCTTCGCTCTTATTCCTCGACGATCCCCTTCACTTCTCTCCCCTTCTCCCCTAAGACAACAGATCCAGCTTTAATCTGGGCTTCTGCATTTCCCTCTGATTATTCTCCCTCCTCACTCTTGAATCTTAATGTGGGACTGTGCCTTGGTAATATAAAACTCGTCGGCCTCTCACAGGTAGTGCTCCTCTCTCCAAAAACAAGGACATATTTGAAGAAAGGAGCGGCTACGTGTGTGTGTGTCTGTGTGTGTGTGTGTGTGTGTG